CTCATTTATCGCATTTTTTAATTCTTCATGCCTATTTTTATTTTCCATTCTGTCTGTAGCCATAGTTTCTTTGATGTCCCCCATGTTTTTTTCAAGCCCAGCTATTAATTTTACCATTATTATTCTAAAATCTTGTTCAGTTATGCTGCTGATATCTGTTTTGCGCAGTTCATTAGCTGTCATTTCTTCTTGGAGTTTCTTTGGAGGAGAGCTCTTTCGTTTCATCATTTTAGTTAGCTTTCCGGCTCTTGTTGGTTTTAAAGACCTGTTATGCTCTCTGTATCTATGAGCGCTGCTGTATCCAAGAAGACTCTTTGATTGTCCAGGGCCTATTCTTTCAGAGAGTGTTTTTTGGATGGTATCTCTTGATCTCTCTTGTTGGGACCATGGTTATTTTATTTTCCTATTCGTAGTGATATTTGGGACTCTCCACCTTGTGTACTCTGGCTTGTTTCTTGAGGTAGCCGTTAGACGGCTTTCTCAGTGGAGTCTGCGTCCTTTCTCTCCCAATCTCTTGGGTGTGGTATGGTTTTTGATGGCTTCAGATCTTTTCCTTGTGATGCCTGGTCGCGAGTGCAGGTACGGAGCTCCCTACTTCTCCGCCATCTTGCCCCTCCCTCCTATTTGGAAAGACTTTTATCTTTCCTTCTATTCTGAATGACAGGCTTGATGGATAGAGGATTCTTGACTGCATATTTTTTCTGTTCATCACTTTAAAGATTTCCTGCCATTCCTTTCTGGCCTGCCAAATTTCAGTAGATACATCTGTAACCATTCTGATAGTTTCCTCTTTGTATGTTAAGGCATTTTTATCCCTAGCTGCTTTCAGAATTCTCTTTGTCATTATATTTTGCCAGTTTCACTATATGTTGTGAGAAGAACGATTCAAGGTACATCTGAGGGGAGTTCTCTGTGCTTCTTGTATTTCAACATCTACTTCCCTCCCCAGGTTGGGGAAGTTCTCTGCTATAATTTGTCCCAGGACTCCTTCAGCACCTTTCCATCTCTCTTCCTCTTCTGGAATTCCTATGATATGGACATTGTTCCCTTTGATTGAATCGCTGAGTTCTCGAACTCTTCTTTCATGCTCCTGGATCAGTTTATCTCTCTTTTTCTCAGTTTCTTTTTTTCTATAATTGTGTCTTCTAAATCACATATTCTCCTTTCTGCCTCTTCAATCCATGCATTGGACGCCTCCATTTTATTATGCATCTCATTTATAGCATTTTTTAATTCATCACATCTATTTTTAAGCTCCATAGTCTTTGTAACAATAGTTTCTCTGATGTCTTCCATGCTTTTTTTCAAGCCCAACGATTAATTTTATGACTATTGTTGTAAATTCTTGTTCAGTTATGTTGCTTATATCTGTTTTGAGCAGCTGTCATTTCTTCCTGGAATTTCTTTGGAGGAAAGTTCTTCCGTTTCGTCATTTTGATTAGGTTTCTATCTCTTGTTAATTTTATTTGTTTTCCTTTAATTTTTTTAATGTTTTATTTATTTCTAGGAGAGAGAGAGAGAGACAGCGTGAGCAGGGGAGTGTCAGAGAGAGAGGGAGTCACAGAGTGAAACAGGCTCCAGGCTCTGAGCTGGCAGTCAGCACAGAGCCCGACGTGGGTCCCGAACCCACGAACCGTGAGATCATGACCTATGCAAAAGTCGGACGCTTAACCAACTAAGCCACCCAGGCGCCCTCTTGTCAATTTTAAAAGCTTGTTATGCACTCTGCGCCTGGGGGCGCTGCTGTATTATAGAGGGCTCTTTGACTGTCCAGGGCCTGTCCGTTCAGGAAGTGTTCTTTGAATGTTGTCTCTTGGTTTCTCTTGTTGAAACTTTGGTTATTTTATTTCCCTACTGTAGTAGTTTTGGGACTCTCCACCATGTGTACTTTGGCTTGTGTTTGAGGTAGCTCTGGAAAAGAAAACAGACAGACAACACACAGGGAACAAAGGTACACAAATGCACAGATATATCCAACAAACACGCAAACGGAAAGGGAAAAAGAAAAAGAAAAAAAGGAAGGGAGAAAAAAACAAAACAAAAGAAAAAAAGCTGATGGAGGGAAGACCAACCATAAAAATAAAAATTAATAAAGAAGAAAAAAAAGAAGAAAAGAAAAAAAGACAAAGTCTAAACGACTAAAACCAAAATTCCCAGCTACAAATAAAGAGCCAGGTATATGCAGTGCTGATGGAAGAGCATATACAAAGAGAGAAATGACAAAGCGGGGAGGAATGAATTTGGAAATGAAATGACCAGGCAGAGAAACTAAGAGGCTATATTCAGAGGTGGAATTCATAGAATATTTTTAGCGGTGAGGAGAAAGAAACGAAGATAATGTTACTCAGAGAAACTATATAGTCTGGTTGGTCCAGAGAGAGAGAGAAAAAAAAGGTAGTGTGGAGGTGTAGAATGTACATCTAGAGAATGGATTAAATGTGACTGTTTAAGCAAACCAGTGACCAGAGTGCCCTGAGCAGCAGAGTGGACGGTTATGAATGAGAAAAGGGAGAATATATCTGAATAGAAAGAATTATATGAAATTAATCATGGCAGTGCATCCATGTTGGCCTTGCCCCGGCTTAGGTAAAAAAAAAAAAAAAAAAAAAAAAAGGAAAAAAACCCCACCTCTCTAGAGGGGATGTGTGCGGTTTGGTGTAGGCAGGTCTTAGCCTCCACTGTGTCCCTCTGGCCGCTCCCAGAGCCCCTGCCTTGGTGGTTGTGGGGAGAAAAATGGCGTTGCCCCAGTTCCCTCTCGAACCAAGTGCTGCAAATCATTCTCTTGGGTCAGGTCTCCCTGTACTGTGGGCATAGCCAAGGTGAGTTGTGTTCTATGCCCCACGCCCCACCTCGTTTCCAGGTCCCAGTCCTCGTGCTTTATTTATAATGCCAGATACACAGTCCTGCAGGTCACTGCTTCCCTGCTGCCAGGGGTTGAGGTGGTGGGGGGCTGGGGGGGAAGTGGCTCAGCCTCAGATCCACCGGGGTCAAGTGGCAGCACAATCTGTGATCCGCAGCCTCAGTGCTGCTTGGGGTCAAGTCCCAGGAACTCAGCCTTGGCCCACAGCCTCTGTGCTGCCCGGGACGCTGCCCTGGATTGTGTGGGAGTGCAGCAGAGCAGTTTTTCCTGGCGTCCTCTGGGACTGGGGGCATCTAGTTCAAAGTCAGCACCCCAGCTAGAACTAAAACACTCTCTTTCCAAACCAAGGTTTTTCTCTTCTCCACGGACAGTTCTATGAGCAGTTTCAGTGGCTGTTTCTTTTCCCTCTGACTCACAGAGGCTGCCCAAAAGCCAGGTTCTGTACCCTCCCTCCATGTATCAGGTCCAGGCCTGCTTTTATCTTCCCCAGTTCACACTCACACACTTATGAGGTTGCCTTCCCAGTGTACTCTGTCTCTTTCTCTTCCCAAACTCCTGTGGCTCAGTGTCCTGACTTCAGGCCTTCTCTGAGAGATGGGTGCAAGCAAAATGCACGGAGCTCCCTACTTCTCTGTCATCTTGCCTCCCTGCAAGATAAGACCACTTTCGGTCTTATTATGCCCGATTCATGAGTCCCCTGAGATCCCCCAGGAGCCGACACTGATGCAAGTACAAAAGGGTCTTTTTATTACAAGCTCGAGCAGGGACTCCAATGTACCCCGACGCAGCGGTGATGATATGGAGCCCCGAGCTCGTGATCGCAAGGCTTTTTATTGTGCTTACAGTGGAATTTGGGGCGTTCTAGCTTGGCAGCCTCCTGATAGGTACAGGCTGTCTTGTCAGCACCCAATTGGTTTGGCCCATCCGGCCTGACTGCAAACTGCTAACTGGAACGTCTTAGGATATAGGCACCTGTTTTAAACTGATTGGCTGTTGCCGTAGCTAGGGAAGTAACTAAGGGCAGAACCTGGGACTAGGTTCGGGCCTAGTTCATTCTCAAGATGGAGGTTTAATCTGAAATGGAATCAGTTAGATTTAGGTATTACATTCCCTCCTCTTCTTGAGACTTCTGTGGACCCAAAATCATGGGTCCTCTAGGAGCTAGAGCTCTATCGAGTTATCTATGTTTTGGGGATGTTGGTATTGTGACCGGAGGACCATTAATTGGATGGCCCCCAAGTGTTCTTTCATAAATGCAACCAGTCTGTTAAGAATGCAAGGTCCAAAGGTTAGTAACAGCAATAAAATCAATAGGGGGCCTAATAAAGTAGAAATCAGGGTAGTTAGCCAAGGGGAGTTGTTAAACCATTTCTCAAACCAACTCCGGCTCAGTTCATACTCTCGTTTTCGTCTAGCCAGGCCTTCTCTTATTTTAGCTAGAGATTTTTTTGACTATTCCTGAATGATTGACATAAAAACAGCATTCTTCTCTAAGGGCAGCACATAATCCACCTTGTTGGAGGAATAAAAGGTCTAAGCCCCTTCTATTCTGCAGTACTACTTCTGCTAGTGAGGTCAAGGATTCTTGTAAATGGGCAATAGAGTTTTCTAGGTTCTGGATGTCAGTATCTATGGCCATTCTTAAGTCCTGATAGTTTTTACTTTGGGTTGCTAAGGCTGAAATACCAGTTCCTGCTCCTGTCACTCCCAGGCCCAGAAGGACGGTCAAAGTGAGAGCAGTGATAGGCTCTCTCCTGGTCCGCATCAGGTAGCTTGACCCATTCAGGGATGTTATAATTTCTTCATTGGCATGGTAGAGGACTCGGGGCACTAGTTGGACCAAAACCCAGAAGTCTTTGTTGTGGTTTAGGACCGCACTATGTACACGAGGGGTGAGCCCAGTAGAGCAGGCCCACCATCTTTGGTTTGGTGGGATTATGTATCCATTGTCCCTAATCTGTTCAGTATGATTGCAAAGGTGTGAATGTGAAGCCGGGACCTGTCCCATGCATAGGCCCTGTCCCATTATAGACTGTAGGGTTAGCCTACCGGTGTTTGCCGGCTGCCACCGGTGCTCAGAGGACATATTAGAAGTGCGATATTGGTCCAGGATGGCTATTCCTTCATAATAGGGGGGCTTGGGATTATAGCATAACCAACAAGACTCGGTTAAATTGGGCCTGGTAGAATTGAGAACTTTATTTTTTTTAATTTTTTAATGTTTTATTTATTTCTAGGAGAGAGAGAGAGAGAGAGAGAGCGTGAGCAGGGGAGGGTCAGAGAGAGAGGGAGTCACAGACTGAAACAGGCTCCAGGCTCTGAGCTGGCAGTCAGCACAGAGCCCGACGTGGGACTCGAACCCACGAACAGCGAGATCATGACCTAAGTGAAAGTCGGACGCTTAACCAACTAAGCCACCCAGGCGCCCCAGAATTGAGAACTTTAAAAGTGTGGACCATCAGGTCCCATAAGGGCTCTGGCTCCTTGAGGATGGTGGTTGCCACGGACTTAGTAGTAATGGGAGTAGTGTTGAGTTGCCTGTGGGTCAGGCGGATTGGAATTAGGGCCTTATTAGGGCCTATGGTCTCTCTTGATTCTGACTGAAAGGGGGCAAGGACCCGCTTGACCATAAACAATACTCCTGTATTATACCCTGATTTATGTAGTCTTAATCCCCAGGTTAGACCTTTGTCCCAGTCCTTAATTTTTTTACCCTTGTCAGTGAATATTAATTGTAAAGGATTACATCTAGAGCCAGGCTTACAGGGGGTGGTTGAGTGTTTGAGTCGGAGGGAAATGAGAGATTGAGAGTCCTGGATCCAACTGCAAGATCCCGTGGTCTCACAGCCCCATCCCCGACAGAAATAATCTGACCGGTCCCCAAATAGAGCCGCCTTGTCATTAGAAACTGGGACCGGGCATACATAAAAACAGGTTCTACGTAACTCTTGCAGGGCGGTATGGGCGGAGGAGTTTTGAGTTCAAGTACATCCCGGGACTTCTGGCCATCCTGTCCCTGGTTTAGGTAATGGGGCTTGTTCAAATAAGCTGCAAAGGTCAAATTCAAATGTAGGCCACCATGTATCGGGCGGATGGGGCTCAACCTTAGTAACTATGGCTTGATTTGAACTAGGCGTAATGATTTGCCATGTTACTTGGAAGGGTTGGTGAGGATTTTGGTTTTGGTTGGCCTGACAAGGTAGAGTACATAGGGTTAGTAGTCTTAAGATTAAAGGCCAGTTCATGTTTTCCGCTGTAGTTTGAGCTTTAGTGGATTTACTGGGTCCTTGACGGCCCTCCAATCTGGATTTGGAGTCAGGTAGTTGTCCTTATCGGCAAACGGGTCAGCTGGTTTGGCGTGGGTGTAGTGAACCCAGGCAGCAATGCCGTCTACCTTTAGGGCCGTTGGAGTAGTCAGTAGTACAACATAAGGTCCTTTCCAGCGTGATTCCAAGTTGCCCTGGTGGTGTCTCTTCACGTAGACCCAGTCACCGGGGCAGTACCTGTGTGGCTCCGGAGGTGGACCTGTTTCATAGAGGGCACACAGTTTAGGCCAAATATGTTTATGAACCCATTGGAGGCCTCTGAGGTCTTGGAGGAGACGGGCTTCTTCCAATTCCTCAATGGCCTCATGCTGTAAACGGGGTATGATAGGGGGTGCTTTACCAAACATGATCTCAAACGGAGTCAATCCCATTTGATATGGGGAATTACGCACCCTATATAGGGCAAAAGGGAGGAGGACCACCCAGTCACCGCCAGTCTCGAGGGCCAGTTTGGTAAGGGTCTCTTTTAAGGTTTTATTCATCCTTTCTACCTGTCCTGAGCTCTGGGGTCTATAAGCACAGTGTAATTTCCAATCAATCCCCAGGGTTGTGGCTAGGCCCTGACTTACCTTGGACACAAAAGCCGGTCCATTATCTGACCCTATCATCTGAGGAAATCCATACCTTGGTAGAATGTCTTCCAGTAGCTTCTTTGCCACCACCTGTGCAGTCTCGTATTTGGTGGGATATGCCTCAGTCCATCCTGAAAAAGTGTCTACAAAGACCAGTAAGTACCTGTAACCATACCTGCCAGGTTTTACCTCAGTGAAGTCAGTTTCCCAGGAGGCCCCTGGACGTCTTCCTCTTAGACGTGTTCCAAGATTATGGGGATTCCGGGTAGCGTTGGTCAATTGACAGGCTCTGCATTTACTGACGATTTGTTCAATTTTGGAGTTGGCATCTTTAATTTTAATGTGTGACTGTCTCACCAGGTCTTGTAGTCTTCTCTGTCCCATGTGAGATGCTCGGTGTATTTTTGACAGAACCCTTATTCCCATTTCCTCAGGCAGAATGATTTTGTTATCTGAAGACCTCCACCAGCCCTTAAGGTATTGGGTCATAGGCAGTCCTTTAATCCATTGTAGGTCCTCGAGTGAATAACAAGGGCTCTCTGGTAGGTTGGGGTCCCCCGGATCTATGAGTTTGACTGCCAGGACCAGGGTGCCTTTGAGGGCTGCTTCTTTAACAGCCCGGTCTGCCATATTGTTGCCTCTGGCCGCCTCAGTTATGTCCTTTTGATGGCCTGGACAATGGATGATAGCTAGTTTTTTCAGGAGCCATAAAGCTTTGAGGAGAGCTAGAATCTCCTCTTTATTTTTAATAGTCTTTCCCTCTGCCATGAGGAGCCCCCTTTCTTTATAAATTGCCCCATGGATTTGAGCAGTGGCAAAGGCGTATCTACTATCTGTGTAGACATTTAGTTTTTTTCCTTGCCCCAGAGTCAAAGCTTTAGTGAGTGCAATCAGCTCAGCTTTCTGTGCTGAGGTTCCGGCTGGCAGGGGCTCGGCCCAAACGACCTCTTCAGTGGATACTACTGTGGCCCCGGCATACTTCAGTCCTTGTTGTATGAAGCTACGGCCTTCTGTGTACCAGGTGATTTCCTCATCTGGCAACGGGACGTCCTGCAAGTCGGGACGGGTGGCATGAATATGAGCCAGGATCTCGGCACAATCATGGAGGGGAGGCTCCAAGTCCGGGTCAGGCAGCAATGTAGCCGGGTTTAGGGCGGTCGGAGCCTGGAAAATAATTCTGGGAGGGTTGAGTAGCAAAGTCTGATAATGAGTCATGCGGGCATTACTGAGCCATCGATCTGGTGGTTGCTTTAGAACTCCCTCTATTGCATGAGGGGTGGTGACGGCCAGCTCTTGCCTCATAGATAATTTATCTGCATCCTTAACGAACAGGGCCACAGCCGCAATCATGCAGAGGCATGATGGCCAACCAGATGCCACTGGGTCCAGTTTCTTGGAAAGGTAGGCCACAGGCCAGTGCCATGGGCCCAAAGTTTGGGTGAGGACCCCTATGGCAATACCTTTATGCTCATCAACAAATAAATGGAAGGGCTTGGTGATGTCTGGTAGCCCTAAAGCAGGGGCCGACAGTAAAGCCAATTTTAAGGCATCAAATGCCTGTTGGTGTTCTTCGGTCCATGTCCAAATGGCACAGGGCTTTTCCTTGGTTGCTTCATAAAGTGGACGGGCCCTTTCAGCAAACCCAGGGACCCAAAGCCGACAAGACCCCACCGATCCCAGGAATTCCCTTACCTGATGAGCATTGGTGGGTGTAGGGATCCTCAAGACCATTTCTTTTCTTGCAGGGGATAGCCAACGCTTGCTTTCTTTTAAGATATATCCTAAATATTGGACTTCTTTTTTACAAATTTGGGCCTTCTTGGCTGAAGCCCGATGTCCCAGTTCTCCCAGAGTTTGGAGTAAATGTGCAGTGCCAGTCAGGCAGGCATCTCGGTCTTGAGCGGCTATCAAGAGATCATCTACATATTGTAAAAGAGTTAGTTGGGGATGTTGGTAGCGAAACTCACCCAGGTCTTTGTTTAAGGCCTCATCGAAGATGGTGGGGGAGTTTTTGAACCCCTGGGGCAGCGGGGTCCGTGTCAATTGTCCCTTCGTGCTGTGCTCGGGATCGGTCCATTCGAAGGCAAAATATTCCTGGCTGTTTGGGGCCAAGGGGAGACTAAAAAAAGCATCTTTTAGATCCAGGATGGTGTACCAGATACGAGTCGGTGGAAGGGTACTTAATAGGGTGTATGGATTGGGCACTGTGGGATGAATGTCCATGACTCGCTTGTTGACTTCTCTTAGGCTTTGGACGGGCCGATAATCATTACAGTGGGGTTTACCAATTGGGAACAAGGGTGTGTTCCAGGCCAAGTGGCAAGGCCATAATGCCCCTAAATCCAGTAATCGCATGTTGCTTTACAGTTTTCCCAACACAATTTTTTGAAAAGGCTGTCTGTTACACACTAGATATTCTTTCCTATATTGTTGAAGATTAATTGACAATATAGTGGTGAGTATATTTCTGGGTTTTCCATTTTATTCATCTATGTGTCTATTTTTGTACAAGTATTATACCATTTTCATTATTACAGCTTTGTTATACAACTTGAAGTCTGAAATTGTGATATCTCCAACTTTGCATTGTTTTTCAAAGTCTGTTTGGCCATGAGGGTATTTTGTGGTTTCATAGAAATTTTAAAATATCTTGGTGCGCCTGGGTGGCTCAGTTGGTTAAGCGTCCGAATTTGGCCCAGGTCATGATCTCAAGGTCGGTGAGTTCGAGCCCCGCGTCAGGCTCTGTGCTGACAGCTCAGAGCCTGGAGCTTGCTTCAGATTCTGTGTCTCCCTCTCTCTCTGTTCTTTCCATGCTCACTCTCTGTCTCTGTCTCTCAAAATAAAGTGTTAAAATATTTAAAAAAATAGAAATTTTAGAATTTCTTGTTCCAGTTCTGTGAATAATGCTGTTGGTAAGTTGAGAGAGATTGCTTTAAATCTGTATATTGATTTGGGTAGTGTAGACATTTTAAAGAACGTTTGGTTTTCCAATCTGAGTGCGGAATGTCTCTCCATTTCTTTGTGTACTTTTCAGTTTCTTTCATCAGTATTTTATAGTTTTCAGAGAACAGGTCTTTCACTTCTTTGGTTAAGTTTATTCCAAGGTACTTTATCTTTTTGGGTGCAATTAAAAATGGGATTTTTCTTAATTTTTCTTTATGGTGTTTCATTATTACTGTATAAAAGTGCAACAGATATCCGTACTTTGATTTTATGTCCTGCAACTTTACTGAATTCTTTTATCAGTTCTAGTATATATGCCTTAAATTTGTACAATAATGTCATGTATTTATTAATAAAGTTGAAAAGATTTTAAGTCATTACATACAAGCCTCTTTCCTTTCTCTTATCAATTAAATAGAGTAGAATGGAGAACAGCAGAAAAAAGATAACTTTAAGGAAATTATTCTATGACAATGACATTTATACCTCACATATCTATTCAGACACGAAAGCACTAGTTTTTATTTTCTTAGACTATGATAAATAAAGAGAAAGTGAACAAAGAGGTGATTAAAACTTTCTGTAACTGAAGAGGTATTAGCTCTTGGGAGATTCCTTCATCATTATGGAAAAAGAATTTCCAAACAATACAAATTTGGATCAACAATTATTTTTAATCACAAATTTAAATTTTGGCCAAGTCAAAAATTCCATGATTTGTAAGGTCAAATTTCAGAAGGATGACTCTGTTGTTCTTCATGATATAACCTCCACCATCTCCCAATTTTTATACATGTGCATATTTATTTGAATATAATATATAAATGAAACAGACGGAAGTCATACATATACTGTTCTATGAAACTTAACCCAGTTAACATACCTAATAATCCTCACTCTGATTCAAATGGCAGTATTTTATTTTATTTTATTTACTTTAAAAAAATTTTTTATTATAGTTTATTGTCAAATTTATTTCCATACAACACCCAGTGCTCATCCAAACAAGTGTGCTCCTCCATGCCCATCCCTGATTTTCCCCACCGCCCCACCCCCATTAACCCTCATTTGTTCTCAGTATTTGAGAGTCTCTTATGGTTTGCCTCCCTCCCTCTCCTTAACAACTTTTCGCCCTTCCCTTTCCCGATGATCCTCTGTTAAGTCTCTCCTGTTCCACATATAAGTGAAAACATATGGTATCTCTCCTTCTCTACCTAACTTATTTCATTTAGCATAACACCTTCAAGTTTCATCCACATTGCTACAAATGGAGAAAAAAAGATTTCATTTTTTCTCATTGCCATGTAGTATTCCATTGTATACATAAACTACAACTTCTCGACCCATTCGTAAGTTGATGTACATTTAGACTATTTCCATGTTTTGGCTTTTGTTGAAAGTGCTGCTATGAACATTGGGGTACATGTGCCCCTATGCATCAGCACTCCTGTATCCCTTGGGTAAATTCTTAGCAGTGCTATTGTTGGGTCATAGGGGAGTTCTATTGTTAATTTTTTGAGAAACCTCCACACTGTTTTCCAGAGGGGCTATACCAGCTTACATTCCCACCAACACTGTAAAGAGGGTCCCCATTTCTCTACATTCTTGCCAGCACCTATAGCTTACTGACTTGTTCATTTTAGCCCCTCTGACCGGAATGAGGTGGTATCTCAGTGTGGTTTTGATTTCTATTTCCATGATGATGAGTGACGTGTAGCATCATTTCATGTGTCTGTTGGCCATCTGGATATCCTGTTTGGAGAAGTGTCTGTTCATGACTTCTGCCATTTCCTCACTGGATTATTTGATTTTTGGGTGTGGAGTTTGTGGAATTCCTTATAGATTTCGGATACTGGTCCTTTATCCGAAATGTCTTTTGCAACTATCTTTTCCCATTCCATAGGTAGCCTATTAGTTTTGTTGATTGTTTCCTTTGCCATGCAGAAGCTTTATCTTGATGAGGTCCCAATAGTTCATTTTTGCTCTTGATTCCCTTGCCTTTGGGGATGTGTAAAGTAAGAAATTTCTGCGGTTGAGGTCAAGGAGGTTGTTTCCTGCTTTCTCTTCTAGGGTTTTAATGGTTTCCTGTCTCACATTCAGGTCCTTCATCCATTTTAAGTTTATTTTTGTGTATGGTGTAAGAAAGTGTTCTAGTTTCATTCTTCTGCATGTTGTTGTCCAGTTCTCCCAGCACCATCTGTTGAAGAGGCTGTCTTTTTCCATTGGATACTCTTTCATGCTTTGTCAAAGATTAATTGGCCATACATTTGTGGGTCCAATTCTGTGTTCTCTATTCTATTCTATTGGTCTATGTTTCTGTTTTTGTGCCAATACCATACTGTCTTGATGATTACAGGATTATAGTAGAAGCTGAAATCTAGGATTGTGATGCCTCTCGTTTTGGTTTTCTTCTTCAACATTATTTTGACTATTCAGGATCTTTTGTGGTTCCATAGAAATTTTAGGATAGTTTCTTCTAGCTTTGACAAGAATACTGGTGCAATTTTGATTGGGATTGCAATGAATGTGTAGATTGCTTTGGTAGTATTGACATTTCAACAATATTTATTCTTTCGATCCATGAACATGGAATATTTTTCCATATCTTTGTGTCTTCTTCAATTTCCTTCCTAAGTTTTCTGTAGTTTTTAGCATAAAGATCTTTTACAAAAATTGGTTAGGCTTATTCCTAAGTATTTTATGGATTTTGGTGCAATTGTGAATGGGATCAGTTTCTTGATTTCTCGTTCTGCTCCTTCATTATTAGTGTGTAAACATGCATCCGCATCTGTACTTTGATTTTGAACCCTGCGACTTTGCTGAATTCATGGATCAGTTCTACCAAACTTTCGGTGGAGTCTGTCGGGTTTTCCATGTAGAGTATCATGTAATCTGGGAAAAGTGAAATTTTGACTTCTTCTTTGCCAATTCTGATGCCTTTTATTTCCTTTCGTTGTATGGTGGCTGATGCTAGGACTTCCAGCTCTCTGTTAAACAACAGTGGTGAGAGTGGACATCACTAGCATGTTCCTTATCTCAGGTGAAAGCACTCAGCTTTTCCTGTTGAGGATGTAATTAGCTGTTGGCTTTTCCTAAATGGCGTTTATGATGTTTAAGTAAGTTTCTTATATACCGACTTTCTCGAGGGTTTTTATTAAGAAAGAAAGCTGTCTTTTGTCAAATGATTTTTCTGCACCTACTGACAGAATCTTATGGTTTTTATCTTTTCTTTTTTAATGTGATGTATCACATTGATTGATTTGCAACTATTGGACCAGCCCTGTAATCCAGGATTGAATCCCACTTGAACTTAAGGGATAATTTTTTTTATATGTTGTTGGATTCAATTTGCTAGTATCTTGTTGAGGATTTTTGTATCTATATTCGTCAAGGATATTGGCCTGTAGTTCTCTTTTTTTACTGGGTCTCTGTCTGGTTTGGAAATACAAGTGATACTGGCTTTGTAGAATTAGTCTGGAAGTTTTTCTTCCTTTTCTATTTCTTGGAACTGCGTGAGAAGAATGGGTATTAACTCTGATTTAAATGCCTGGTAGAATTCTGCAGGGAAGCCATCAGGTCCGGGGCTCATAATTGTTGGGAAATTTTTGATAACTGATTCAGTTTCTTCACTAGTTATGGGTTCGTTCAGATTTTCTATCTCTTCCCGTGTTAATTTCGATAGTGTGTGTGTGTTTAGGAGTTTGTCCATTTCTTCTAGGTTGTGCAGCTTGTTGGCATATAATTTTTCATATTATTCCCTGATAATTGCTTGTATTTCTGAGGTATTGGTTGTAATACATTCATTTCCATTCCTGATTTTGTCTATTTGAGTGCTCTCTCTTTGTTTTTTGAGAATCCTGGCTAGAGGATTGTCAATTTTGTTTATTTTTTCAAAAAATCAACTCTTGGATTCATTGATCTCTTCAACTGTTTTTTTTTTAATTGTATATTGTTTATTTCTGCTCTGATCTTTATTACTTCTCTTCTTCTGCTGTGTTTGGGGTGTTCTTGCTGCTCTTCTAGCTCCTTTAGGTGCGCTGTTAGATTTTCTATCAGTGTATCTGTGTCATATAAAGAACCTGCAGTAGAATTCGTCAATATGTAAAGGGAGCGTAACCTGACAGCATAATTTCGGGAAATAAGTCCTAAGGAAAAAAGTCAGATTAATTAGAATTTTGTGTTCAGAACACCTAGGGATAGTAAAATATTATAAATTGTGTTTCTATGATTTCCTAAATATTTTCATTCAACCACCTCAGTGTAAATTGACCATCTTTGGCAACAGTCAAGGGAGCAGACTGCCATGAGGACTAATAATTCCTATGAAATCACATGTGCCACCAATAAAGGCCTTATTCTCTCCCAGGCTATGTTCTCTTACATTAATAGCAGAAGTAATGCAATTTTGGGAT